TCAATGGTCTACGCATGATTTAGGCTTCAACGACTATGTTGATTGATTAAAAGAAGTGCTTTTAAAATTCTATACAATTGATTTATGTGACAATAAAAGAAGGAATTTTTTTATGTGAATTCCATCAGACTCATTGAATCTACAAGACTGAATGCTGGCTTATTCAAAAATTTCTCCACAACAAAACAAATAAAAATTCGGAGAAGAAGAGATCCTGTATTATTGATTGAGAACAGTTGAGCTTACAACAGTTTACAGGAGGATAGCCTATCAAACTATAAAACTTAACAAAATTTGCGTGAAATTTTCTCAATCTAACTCCTAATCAAGATTTTTGTATCCTACTTAACCATATCATCTGTACAAAAGATTCTATCCAAAGCTCACATGGAGGAATAATTATCTTAATAGCATGAACAACAATGGAAGAGTATGCTAAATTTTTGTACATTGTAGTGTCTTCTTCTAACCAATAGTGCATACCAAATAATGTATGCTAGATACTCTCATGTCTATAAAATCAAAATTCCCTGGATTATTATTTGTCTTCCAAGGTAGAAAAGATGAATTAAGATCATAAATAAGCAAATGTTGCTCACTGATGGAATGGTAGTACGAAATCATACAGTCTTCCTACTCAGTTTTCAACTTCGAAAGAGATGCACAATATTGATGTCTGCTATATACAGTTCACCTCTCTACCAGTAAATGCAAGACGGTGCATGAACTTTAAACTCCACTAATACTGTGACCAGGGGAGTTTGTTCAATCTCAAAGGATTCATCAACAGTTGTAGTGAAACTATCCGCCAACATAAAATTTGCATCATATGATTGTTCTTTTTGTTCACTAATGCCACCTGATCTTTCTCCAAGGAAGCCATTTTTGGATGAAACTCGTTCAGGTGACAGATGGGCTTGCACAAGTCTTCAAAATAAGTTGAGTTTTGGAGGTCTGCTATCATCCTTATCGGTTCGTGCAAATAAATTGTTGGCGGCTTTGAGTGATGTAATAGAAAAGTGTCATTGCCAGCACTACAAGGCGTAGACGAACTGGTTGTAGATTTTGGTCTTAGTATGGGAGAAGGAGGCATTCTCCCCTTTGTATGATGTTTTGATCATGAATGCAAAAGATGACTCCTTATGGGAGAAATTTGGAAAGAAATGTTACTTGGAGCATAGACATCGGTTCTGAAAAAAAGAAAAAAAAAGTGACTTTATGTTGCAATAAAGAAAGTCTACATCGTGAAAATTGTAAAACTAAGATGCAAACAAAGCCAACGAGGTGTACATCAATAAAAGAAGCTTGACATCTATATAGAGGAAGTAAAAAATGAGGAGATGAAATAATTCAGCACTATGCAAAACCTCATACATTAGAACTAGTCACAATCCCTTGTCATAGACATGATCAACTATAACATGAAAGATTCAAGAGTAGATTTTGAGTCCATGACCAAAAAAATTTAGCATTGAAAAAATTCAAAAAAAAAATGATATTTGAAATGCATCCTGCAAATATAGAGAAACGCTGCTATAAGAGAAGTGCCTTAGCAATAAGGAGCTTACGAAGTTACAAAGAATAACACCGTGCCTCATGTCCAATTAGAGAAATACTACTATTACAGATGCGCTACCATCGCACGTGCACTACAATTGCACATGATCTTGCAACTGCCTTGACATCAATTGAAGATCATTCATATACAAATATTTATTTTTTCGGGAAGGGATCTAAAATGACTTGCGAAGGAAAGACTCATAAGGCTAAAGAGTAGACATATGTAAGGCAAGAAAAAATGCATCAGAGAGATGTTTTACTGTCAGTGGTACAATTTCATATTATTCTTTTCAATCAACTATTTCAATTGCGTTATTATTTTGAAAATGAACCTTGCTCTTTTCTCTTAGAAAATTGTACCCATTTCCTTGTGCCTTAATGAATATCTATATGTAAGCAGTAATTTCCGTATCATGAGATAGCTACACAGAAGAAGCTTAAATATCGGAGATTTTACGGTATGTGGAGCTATAGGTATGGCTTCCATAGATTCAACACACAATCGATCTTTCTGATTGAGGAGTATTTCTAACAAAAGGATGCTCCAAGAGCTGAGCAACTGTAGGGCAGTGTGTTGGATCGCGCTGCAAACATTGCATCACGAAATCCTTTCCTTCATCTGAGAGGTAATCTGGGATATCAGGCGGTTCTTTGCGGTTCTTGACCTGAACATAGCAGCAAGCTTCAGCGAAGAGCATAATACATTACAAGTCCACGGAAAACAAGAGACAATTAATTTATAAAAATAATAATCATTTATAAGAGATTATATGATCTTCAAAGATCAATAGATAATTAACTAACCCTTTGATACTGACTCCAAGGTAGTTTTGTGGTGGCCATCTCCAAAACTGTGCAACCAAGGCTCCATATATCTACTGCAAGGTTACAACCTTTTGAATTTTTTATGACCTGTGCAAAGATACAATCATATGAAAAGAAGTCTTTGGATCAATGGGAATGACACCAGAAAATGAAATAGCATTCTGCCTAACCTCAGGTGTCATCCATTAAGGGCTTCCCTTAAAGGACAATAGACAAGATAGCCCAATGATCTAGAATATAGCAACTGGATTAGATGGAAACTTGAAGTGTCAAAAGAAGAACATGAACCATCCAAATAGATATTGTTTCCTGCAAGATATTATTCTAGTTGAGTTTCTCAAATATAAGTTTCCAATTCATAATTAGAAAATGACAAACTTTCTTCCTTAGGTTTGCACTTTTACAAATAAGTATCATACAATATTTTTTTCTTTGAAAAAAAATTGAATATTGCAAAGAAAACTCTTGACCTTGGTGATTAGAAGTTTTTAGATTGCAAAAGCTCGCTTGTCCTGGTTGCTTTGCACTTTCACTTGACTTCGCATCAGCTGAAAATAATATTACCACCATTGCACACATCTCACCGCTTTCACTGCATCACATAAAGCAGGTAAATATGATCACACGTTGGTCCAAATGAAAGGGAGAAAAGGGAATTGGTTTAAATAATTGAAAGAGTCCAAATTAACACCCACGTGACCGCAAAAGAATAATGAAACGATCAGTCCAAAGTATAACCACGTGCCTCGTGTCCAATTAGAGAAGCACTACTATTGCACATGCACAACTATAGCACATGCACTACTTTTGCACATGATCTTATGACTGTCTTGGCATCAATTGAACATCATATCTAAACAAAAAGTATTGGCATCAAATGAACATCATATCTATACAAAAAGTAATTTTTTTCATCGAACATGAGCTTGAAAGAAAGACATGTAAGGCCAAAGAGCAAACAAGAATAAAGCAGGAAAGAGTGTATCAGAGATATGTTTTACGGTCAATGGTACAATTTCACAATATTCTTTTCAACCGACTACTTTAACTGCATTATTATTTTTGAAAACAAAACTTGCTCATTTCTCTTGAAAAATTGTACCCAGTGTCTTGAATCTTAATTATTATCTATATGCATGTAGTAATTCCCATGTCACAGGACAGCTACAAAGTAGAAGCTTAAATACCAGAGATTTTACGGTATGTTTAGCTGCAGGTATGGCTTCCATAGGTTCAGGACTCAAATGGATCTTTTAGATGGAGGAGTATTTTTAACAAAAGGATGTTCCAAGAGCTGAGCATCTGTAGGACAGTGTGAAGGATCGCACTGGAAACATTGCTTCAATGACTATGTCGATTAAATGCTTCTAGAATTCTATACAATTGAAATGGGCTTAGATACCTAATAAATTAGGGGGAAAAATTCATTTTCCCTACTTTATCTTTACCCTATTTCAAAAATAACAAAACAACTTTTACAATTCAAAAATCAGATTTTTTGACATATATATACACATATTTATAAATATTTATTTATTTCTTTACCCACCCCCACCACCACCACCCCACCACGCCGGCGACTGCTCCGGCGACCACTCCGGCGACGTCTCCGATTCCGGCGACGTCTCCGGCGACNTCCGGCGACGTCTCCGATTCCGGCGACCGCTCCGGCGCCTATTCCGGCGACTGTTCCGATTCCGACGACTCAGGTCACAAGTCACAATCCAGGTCACAACTCAGGTCACAGTTCAATTTACAATTAACCCACCCCTACCTCCACCACCCCCACCTCTCCGGCGATACTCCGGCGACTGCTCCGGGAAATATTCCGGCGACTACTCCGGCGATTGTTCCGGCGAATGCTCCGGTGATCGTTCCGACGACTCAGGTCACAAGTCACAGTCCAGGTCACAACTCACAACTCAGGTCACAGTTCAATTTACAAGTCACAGCCCAGGTCATAGTTCAATTCACAAGTCACAGCACAGGTCACAACTCAGGTCACAGGTCACAGCTCAGGTCACAAGTCACAGCCCCAGTCACAACTCGAGATTTTGTTCATATTCATGAGTTATTTTTAAATGATCCCATCACAGATTACAAAATACTTTTGCATAGAGCTCAGATTAATATTTAGTTACAAATTGTCGAATTTTAAAGTCACAGTTAATACATTATGCGGTCACAATTAGACAATTATGCGGTCCCAATTGGTCACGAAACACAACACAGTTTCAAACAACTGCCGCCGGCACCTCACCTCACCACACCACCACACCGTAACCTCCAACAACCATCGCCACCACAAAATCGCCCCTGCCACCGCCAAATTTAATAAAATCCACCCCAAACTGCTAATCCACCACCAACGATCAAAACCAAAAAAAAATAAAAAAATAGCACAGGCAGCAGATCGCTGGGGAGAGGAGAGTTGATGACGGTGGTGGGGTGGGATGGAATGGAGAGGAGATCGCCGGGGAGATGAGAGGAGATGATTGAAAATCGCCGTCGAGTGCAGCAACCCGTCGAGTGCAAATCGTAAATCGCAGCGGGCAACTGCAAAAATCCACCATAAATCCTGTACGTACACATTATCGGAGGTCAATAAGAGGTAAATGCCGCTCTTAGGGTTGATCGGAAGTGACCGGGTGGTGGCAGAGACGGCAGATTTTATCACTGACTGGAGCGAAAGTCGAGTTAGGGATTTTCCATGGGAGTAAATCCGTGTATAGTCTAACCGTTTTCCACCACCCCGAAACCGACGACGGCTTAGAGTCCACGATGGAGAATGAACTGATGGGTCGAACACTGCAGCGGGCAAGGCAAGGAGGCGGCGGCAGCAGCGGTTTCAAATCGGTTTGAGAGAGACGGGGTGAGTTAGGGATTGATAATGAATTTTAGGGGTGGGGTAGGTGTATATAATTTAATTTTTATAATATTACTATTAATATTTAATTAAATATAAAAAACATGTATCTATATATAAAAATATCTGATTTTTGAAAAAAAAAATATAAAATCTGGTTTTAGAAATTGAATCTCCAAATGTAGGGCTCCATGTAATTTCCAC